TTTAAAAACTAACTGCTACATAAAACTATTTTTTTTCAATCATTTTTAGTGGATATATTCTACTGTTCAAAAATTGAGATTTATATTATCAACAATGTTGAAAATAGTTCAATTCATACATTTTTTGTGGAAAATGTGACATTTCTCAGGATTCCTTGATGAATAGTAAGTTTAATAAAAGCGTTTACTGCCTCTTGATCAATTTAATGCATCCTTACTGAATACAAATATTGTATATCTTTTGTTTTTTTCTTTTATTATATAAACTGTGAAATGTTTTTGCTTGAAAAAAGTGTGATTGTGTTATATTTCATTAAAATAAATTTTAGGCTACTTGGGTTTATATTTTGCATCGAATGCAAAAAAACTGACATTTTTGACAAGTTTGAGTTAACATACTTCATAAATATATACAAGTACACTGAAAGAAAGGTGAATTAAGTGCTATAATGTGTAAAGAAGTAACTTTCGTTCTGTGGGAAAGTGTTTGTGTGAGTCTCTCAGAGGTGCAGAAGGGATTCAGAGATGTTTTTAGGTAAAGAGAAATGTTCTTTGATGTCTGAAATCCCACATCTGTGGTTTTGTTAGTGAATGAAGCTCCGAGACTCAATCAGACAACCAGCATGGGAAACCCCTCATGACAGGAGACCATACACACACACACACACACACACACACACACACACACACACGTGTGCACATATTTATGACAACACCCACACACATACCAACTGTGTACATATTTATACAAATACTTTCTTTCTTTCTTCCTATCATGCACAACATATAACTAGGATAAGAATTCCCATAGGAAAGAAAAATCATAAATAAGATCACAATAATGTTTTTCCTAGATATTTCTTGTAGAGATTGAATGGAAATTAATGGAGTCTCTTGCTTCTCAGATGTTTCTCCATTGACTGATAACCCAATAATCTAACATATTTTTATGTCTCATGTCTCAAACTGTGCTCAGATTTACAGAGACCAAACGCTACCCACATTCATTTTATAGCTTTATACTTTCACTGCATGTCAGAAAGTATCTAATCTGAAACAACTGAACTAAATTTAGCCTCCTTAGCTATGAAACAGCAATAAAGTTTTGCTCTGGGTTGCAGCAAGTGCATATTTTCAAAAAGACAATCCACACTATACACACAAATAAAACACACACACCCAGTAAAATACCTTGTGCATGATATCAGATGCTGGTGGCTTGAAGGCCGTGAGCCCTGTGAACGCCTACATAAAGATGTGTTTGTTTTCTTGTATTCATCACTGTCTCAGTTCACATATGACAACAGATTCCTGTTTGCCTTTCACTCCCCCTGCTGCACTTCCTGTTGTTTGCGACCTCTCCTTTATTGCCTCACAAATACAGGTACACCTTATCACCGAACGCTTCTTTCTTCTGCCCTCTCAAAGATTCCGATCCTTTAAAAGCTCTGCGCTGCATCTCTGTCTGTCGCTATGGTTGTGTTTTGAGGCCTTTGTGTCTTATTTGGACGGCTGCATTGGTGAAGGTGGAGGAGAGAGAATCAGAGATAGATAAACAAAAAGAAAAAAGGACATGGAAAAATTGAGACACATATTGAAGATAAAAGCTCTGCATTAAGGAGTAGAGATAAAAACAGAACTGTTATCAAGATCTGTTCCTTAAAAGAACATGCAATGAGGAAAATCCTTCTGGTGTCATTTGTTTCCTCTCCCTATAAAATGCTTTAACCTGCATGCTTAAAAATAAAGGTTCTTTATTGGTATCTTTGGTTCCACAAAGAATTTTTAACATTAATGGAACCTTTCCATTCCACAAAAGGCTCTTCAGAGTATTAAAATATTCTTCACACTAAGAAAAAAAAACTGTTTACTGAAAGGTTCTTTGGGGAGCCAAAAAAAGGTTTTTCTGTGGCATCACTGTGAAAAGCCCCTTTAGAAACCTTACATTTTTAAAGAATAGAAAGCCTAAATCGAAACATTTGCTGAACTCACCCTCATTTACTCACCCTCAGGTCAGTCAAGATGTAGATGTGTTTGTTTCTTCATCAGAACAGATTTGGTGAAATTTAGCATTACATCACTTGCTCACCGGTGGATCCACTGCAGTGAATGGGTGCCGTCAGAATGAGAGTCCAAACAGCTGATAGAAACATCACAATAATCCACACCACTCCAGACCATCAATTATCGTCTAGTGAAGTGATCATTAAGATGTTTGTAACTTCAAACTGTGTTTCCGGCAAGCCTTCTATCCATAATATTGCTTTGGACTCTTATTCTGACGGCACTCATTCACTGCAAAGGATCCATTGGTGAGCAAATTATGTAATGCTACAAACTCACCGATGGCCTGCGAATGAATACATTTTCAGCAAATATTAATTTTTAGGTGAATCATTCCTTTACGAGGCTGTGTGCTAGACAGCAGAGCTGCGCAGCTCACTAGGTTTTGCAACGGAGCATGTGTGTTTATTTGACATTACATCAGCATGTAGTCATTTACCCACACCCATATTGGTATGCATAGTGGCAGAGGAGGACACTGAGGGATCAAAACCGTTGTGACACCACTATAAGGAATGGCTTTGAAGGGGATAAGGGCATAGGGACATCCAGAGAGGACAATGTTAGTATTATTATGTCCACTGGACCTGTATCTACGGCAGAGATTTAAGGCAAGACAAGATTAGCATCACTTTCCCCTTACGGGCTCATGCAGTTTACAGTCCTAGACCCTCGCCTCGCACTGATCAAAGCAAATGACTGAGACACTGGACCCTCACGATGCCGCAGATGACATTTTCCCTGAGCCAACATCACACATACGTCATGTACATACAGAGAAGCGTTTTAGTGAACATCCTTATCGAAAACTAACAGATCATCTTCAGTTCAAAGTCTCAGGCAGTGATCTCATTTTTTCTTATTTCATTAATAACCCCCAAATCAAAATGAGACAATTATTCCCTCCTAATTAGATTAAATTAGATTTAAATGTGCAAAAACGATGTACATTGTACAATACTACTGTAAAACCGTTTTAAAATCACCATGGAGAAGAGACTTAATATAAAATTAATTCATAAAATCAAAAATCAAAAAGTAGGCCTATTAGTTATTATTAAAACTAGAAAGTAAAATGAAAGTAAAACACGCAGAAGCAATAGAACAATAAAAGGAAAACAATATTTTTTGCATTTTAGGGTGTAGTGTGACTTAGACAAAGTTTTCCTGAGATTCACACCAGGTCAAATACTGCACTTAATGCTTAGGTCATAGCGCCACCTGCTGGTAAGAGCAAACATCCTCCTCGTAACGCAGTATAGTGTCTCCCTGTGGCAAGTTTATGTAAATCACAATAGCAGATACATTCTGTTTCTGACTTCGGCAATGTCACTGCATGGATGAATTTCACAAAGACATGATATGCCAAAATATTTAAACAAAAATGAGGAAACTATATTTTACATAAACCCATTGATTCTCGATTTATTAATATTTCTCAGTAAAATCTAACTAGATTTTTACATAAATTATTACACTGACTGTATAAATGTATTGCATGTATTTTTCACAACTGTATTAATAAAACATAATGACTTTTTATTTTTCATTATGATTTGGCTTTTTGTACTACATAATCATGAGAACTAGAATGCTGAAGGGCCTAAAAATACACTTTATTTTTTTGTCATTCAAAACAAGATTACTTTCTCTCTTTTCATTTTGTGGTAAAATATGACCTGGACAGGATTTGGGAGATTCATCTGTTTAGATGGCTGACTCGAAAACTTAATCAAACCATCTCGCATTTATGACATTGATAAAACATTGTATTTAATCTCAATCAGATTTTGCATCCTTTGGCTTACATCCTTTGTGGTATTTATTTTTGCATCTCTCCTGTATCTCACTTCCTCTCCCACATCCTGTGGCTGTCAGAGGTAAACTCATCTAAGCTGTAGAGGAAAGACAGTGTGGCACAGTTTGACTTTACCTCAGCGCCTCTGCCAGCAATGAGGGCTCGGCCCCTGATGCTATCTGACGTCCTGTCCTCATCAACACACGTTTCCTGTATACATCACAAAAATGCACATGGATTCCAGATACTCTCCGTGTAATAAACTCTGTTTGACGCTCAGCATGGTCCACATAAAAAAATGCTATTATTTTTATTATATACTTTTGTATTGTTTTACCTTCAGCTCTTGGAACGTCATTTTACAGACATGAACTATGATATGTCCAAAACCATTAGCATGTAACTTTTGGGTATTTTTTTTTTGTTCTGGATAGTGTTAAAATGTTTCCATTGCACTTATTTTAATGATCAATGTTTATCAATGTTTATTGACGTTTTCAGGTTTTCTGTAAATCATGCATCGTACGCAAGAGGGCGCTAGTGGCTAACGAAGTTTGATTTGTTTATTGTGTATGTACGTGGATAAACGTATAAAACACATATAAAAGGTAGACAATTTAATCTGGATTTGTTGTGTCTATTATGAATAACTCCTCTTTTGGTTTTAATATTTTTATAGACTTTTTTCCCATATATATCACATTTAACAATTCCACAACCCTTACTAACAAATCTCTAGAGTCATGCTGTCCAATAATTCCGAAAGAATATACAAGTAAATAAATAAATAGATAAAATAATAATTATTATTATTAAAAAAAAAAAATGAATAACTAATTTTTTATGCATTATTTGTCTAAGACGCAGAGTCTTAGACAAATAAGAAAATCTAGAAATCTACGCATCCTGAATGCTGATACGTGTCCTGGTAGATGTCTGCGAATCCTGATACAGACAGTGCGATGTCTCAGCTCATAAATATAAATTTGTTTACACTACACTTTAGTAACTGTTTTCCCTTGCTTGCTTGCTTGGCTGCTTCCAGCGTTTGATCACGTAACCTCATTAACATTCATGGCTCAGACATTTACCAAAGCAAGATTGGCAAATTCACTGACCATCCTCAGCCAATGTCCGCCAATCAGCCAGCGAGGGGCGTGGTTTTCCACGGTCAGCGCGGAGGTGGGCGGGGTTGTACAGGTACTGTATACACTCATGCACTTCGTCCAAACAACACAATAGTTGATTCACATTGTTACACACACTGAACAAGCTCAGTCACATAGCTGATCTCGTTATTTCCTCGCCTCTCTGGAAATGTCTAAACAGCACGTCTGATAATGTTGGGAAGAAAAATACCTGGGTCAGGTGTGCTGAGCGCAGCTGCAGGAATGGACCGGGGAAGGTCAGGAGAGAGGCTGCACGCAGCGCTGGCTGGACTGCAGGAGCTGCATTTCCTCCGGGACAAACAGAGTGCCATGGTGCACTGGGCTCTGACGCTGAACAGAGAGGACACCAAGACATCAAAACAAGAGAACGTGAGCACAGAGGAACTGAGAATGGAGGCAACACTTACTCTACTCAAACAACAGCTGGTAAGACATCTTATTAATAATTTTGAATGAAGTTTGTGGTTTATTTTGGTGACAATTGTAGACAGTTGAATCACTTTTTCTAACAGGTGGGCAACAAAAATATTAAAGTATAAATGCATATTTAAATTTACTTTGCATTTAATAATAAAACCGTGTGAATCAGACAGTCCAAACTTGGGCTCTGACCATTGACATGTTCATGTGAGTTAAAGCAATCTTATTCATATTAATAATAATCAATAATAGGCCATTTAAATATTTTATGTATCATATATAATATTTGTATTATGCTTTTACAGCGTTTATTTGCCTTACGTTTATGGAGCTTTGACAAAGACATCATCTTAGAGAAGCAAAGTGGATTAAACAGCTCTAGTCATATGACTATTTACACCAGCCAAGTAAAAAATGCTCATGACATTAAGACAGTTTGTCCTTTCATTTATAGCTGACAAAACCATGTAAACTACATTAATGGCTCTTTTAAAATGGGACATTGAATGTTAACAAAGAATGGATCTGATGAGATAAATTTGAATGGATATAGATAGATCTACCAGATGTTTTCTAGTCAGTTCTTACATTATTAAGTAGATTTTCCAGCAGCAAATGAGAATCTTTGCATAAAACCTACATTCCCATGTGCTCTTATTGTAGTGAGGATTCACTGGTGTGTGTATTTTGTGCATGGTTCGGCAGTGCCCTTGATGATTGAATCCAGTGCTGAATCACAGGCTCAGCTGGGGGTCATATAGTGAGGGGTCATAAATCAAGGGCTCTGAGGGGGGCCAGTCCGTTTCTGATGATTAACCCAATTTAATGAGAATGGCAACAGAGGAGCTGTGGCCCGGTCGGCGACACAGATTTGACCCCGCAGCCGATGCACGTTTGAACCTTTTGGACTTTTGTTGAACCCTTCTAATGCTCAACGGTCAAAGTGACTCTGGTCTATATACATATTAGAGACTGGCAGTAGTGTTCTTTACCAAATTTACCATTTAAATCAATCACGAAATGGCATCTTTTTTCCATAAGCTCAAGGAAATTGCACAGTGGATATCATCTACAATAAGAGCTCCACCAATGCAGATGTATGTGTGCATTAAGATTCTGATACGCCGTTCATAAGTACATTTCCAAAATGAACAGAAAGCTAAACAAAATATCAGTACATTTACAGGAAAAGTAATTTCCTGAAAAAGTTATGAAGGTTTTGTAGTGAATTACATGTTTCTAGTTATGCTCTGCTCTAAATGATCAGCTAGAAATTGCTCATCGTGCAATCTTTAAAAAGAAAGGCTTAATTAGTCATATCTAGGAACCTTGAGAAAACATCTGGCAGGTTTACCTTCATATTCATTCAAATGTCAGTACCCAGCTACAACAAACCCCTTAAGTTTAGAAAACCCTTCATTATAATAATAACCCTATTATCAATAAGGATTATCTCAGTTTAAGTGGTTTGTTTTAACTGGTTGCATTATCCACACAACCATAGTTTACAGTAATACCCTCAGATAAAATCGGATTAGTGTTCCTCATTCTTCTTTCACTAACCGGCAAGTACAAAGAAGACAGACTAAAATTTGTGCATTGTCAGAGTTTGGCACAGGTGTGACTCTTTACTTTGCAAAGCTGGTTTAAAGTCAACCATTATAGATTTTCTGTATTTGGCATTGTCATTTTCTCTTGTTCCTATACATTTGGTTTACACAATAGTTTGTGTTCCTCTCCAGGAGAGAGATTAGTAATCTTACAGCACTTCCCCCGGGCTACCCTTTATCCTTGCCTAGTTAATAGTCAACCGCTTTCCTTCTTTATTTGCTTCCTCTCTCTCTGTCTTTTCTTCTCTTGTCTACGTCGTATAACAGCAGGAGTCATATCAGCCATTAAATATCTGGAAGCATCCAGTTTTCCATGTTCTCCTGTGGTTAGTTTGGAATCAGAATGAAGAATAGCTTAACAAAGAACACTTAGTTCTGTTGTGCTTGACTGACTTGGAGTTTATTGCAATTCACAATTCTCAAACTTTCAGCTTAGTATTTGTATCATGAATACGGAGTTTATATACAAGTCTGCAAATGTGGTTAATAAATGTACTAAACACTGCATGATGCATTAAATAAATTGTATGTGATAATGCATCATGCAAATGAAGGTGATTTATTTGCATACTAATATTTGTGAATGTGTGTTGTACCTGCAGACACGTCTGCACAAACAGGATGTGGGATTGAAGACTCATCTCCAGCAGCTAGATCAACAGATAAATGACCTGAAACTGGATGTGTGTAAAGCATCCACTGAACACCTAGAGAGTGACAGCAGACCCAGTTCAGGTGACTAAACATACCCATTCACATGTCACTAATTGTAATTGCTGCTCCATTTGCCAATACCAAATGGAATTGTAAACTGTTTGTTTAAATGGCCTTAATGTGTTTGACAAATTGCACACATCATCTTTAAAAATTTACACCAGCTTTTCAAACATTTTTAGAACTGAAGGACAACATCAAGCATTTTTTGTTGCAAAAATGAACTATGTATTGAATCTAACCGTGCTAATTTCTACTCCCAGGGTTCTATGAGCTCAGTGATGGTGGTTCAGGCTCATTGTCCAATTCATGCACCTCCGTCTACAGCGAGAGTCTCTCCTCCTCATCTCAAACCAGTCTGCTTCCTCATCTCCCCACCTTATATATGCCACATGGTCGTATTGGTTCCGGACAGACTGGTGTGTCCCGTCGTTGTTCTGCTGATGAGAGCACTGCCCAGACCGATGCGCCACGATCAGGAGTGAAGCTCGGTAGCAGCTGTATACGAACAACATCAGCTCGAGCTGAAAGAGCAAGACAAAGACCTGTTTCCACAGGTAAGCGTGAAAATGTGTTATTTAGGTAAAGTTTTAACAAAGAACTATGGGTATATGGGTAGAATCTTGTTGTAGTCACTATAGTCATAACCAGCTTAACTTCTGAAATGTAAAGTACATTATGTTGATGCCATTTCTCTTGTGTCTTTCTTTCAGGGGACCTTGACCGAATGATTGCACCTGGTTTTGGCTGCTTCAAATCCACTGATGTGAAGAGCTCCACCCCTTGTGGTAGCCTCCAAAACCCCTCAGTAGACCCCAAATACCAGAGTAACCTGGTATCTAGCAATGGGACAGAAGTTTACTGTTATCCCAGTCCACTGCATGCTGTGGCCTTACAAAGCCCCATCTTCAGTTGCACCACTGATCAGGGAAATCCAGTAGCACTTGATGGAATGTCTGGAGTGGGTCTTAAAGAGGAAACCCAAAACCCAAACAAAGGGTCCACAAATTCCAGGACTGCTGGATACATCAACAAGCTATTACAGCGAAGCTCCAGTAAGATAAACCTGTTAAGCATAAAAAGAAATGACACTGTTAGTACACAGGAGCAAAGACCCAGATCACAAGAAATGTCCTATGGACAGCTGAATGGTCCTCAACTGCTGGGATCCCTTCAGCAAATATCAATGCCCTTAGAAAATGCACTGGAGACTGGAAAAACATCTTCATCACTAAACAGCAATCAGCAGCAGAGGAATGCACCTGGTCTGGAGCCCAATTCCGAAGCAACTGAGGTCAAGACATTGTGCCATGGCACACACGCAACACCTTCCATGGATCTCCAAAATAATTACTTTCCCATAAAGAATGCCTCAAGCAAGGCTGGTACTGAGTCTGAGAATGGACTCTCAGGCAAAGGGAGTGGACAGTTTTCCAAGGACCCATCTATGGTCCCAAAGCCAGTAGAGAGGAGATCAAGTTTTACCTTCAGAAGGGAAGACGGTAGAGCTTCTTTTGGTGATAAAGGCGGCGCACCTCAATCAGAATTTGTCCATGCACAGTTTGTTCCGGCAGGGTCTCAGAGGGTGAAAGTGCATCAGGCAGACAAGAAAACGAAATCTGTAAAACTTAGAAAGAAGAGCTCTGAGAAGCCTTCAACAAAGAAACAGCAGCATAAACACTTGTCTCGGGAGTTCTGCACCAAAACCCGAGCTGACATAAAACAGTCCAGCTCATGCAAAGGGAGAGTAACAAATCTGGAAGAGTCCCAGATGAACTCTTGCTCAGATTGCAGTTGTAATGGACTTTTCAACTCGCATTGCATCCAGAACAACCCTCACCTTCAACAAAGCCAAACCTCCAAGTCCACCAAGTCCCGTAAAGCCCCAGAACCTGTGAACCTTCCTTTAGACCAAGCCAAAAAGAAACAAAGTTCTCGGAAATGGCCTTCCTCCTCTGAGATCCCTTTGCCCCCAGCTCTCCAAACCCAGAGATCCAAAGAGGTGTTAAACTCTCGAAAGGGGGCCATGGTAAGGAGTGTTACTGCCAGGCCTCGCTCAGGTCAGTGGGGTTGTCCTCCACGGGCCCTTCCCCACTCACTTTCCACCTCCTCTTACTTCAGTTACTTGGAATCTAGATATCCAGCAGCTCCAATTTCTAGCCGCTACCCTCCTCGTTGTGAGTCAGAGTTTTCGGAGTACTCTGCAGAGTGTGCATCACTCTTTCACTCTACTATCGCAGCAAGCAGTGATGGAGAGATGAGCGACTACACCACAAACCGTTTTGGAGACAGCGAGTCCAGTCAGGGCTCTCATACAGCCTCAGACTCGGACAGCAGTCTCTCGTTGGATGAGGAGGACCTGTTGGAGGAAGAAGAGGAAGATGAAGGTGGTTTAGTGTGGGCTCAGGCTGCTATGGGGACCACGGCAGCGGGATTTTCTCTTCAGCAACACCATCGCCCAGAGCCAGCAGCCTGTCGCATCAAAGCTTCCAGAGCACTGAAGAAGAAGATCCGCCGCTTTCAGCCAGCGTCACTCAAGGTTATGACTTTGGTGTAGCTTCACTAAAGCTTAGAATGGATCCTGTTAAGTAAACCTTTAGCTTTACCTGAAATTTGGGACTCACATGGAGCCATTCTTGACAAACTTGGACTGGTCATGGTTTACTTGCACTTGTGAGCCAAGCAAACTCGTAAGAGTATTTGGAGACTTCTAATCCAAAAATGGCCAAACCCGATCACTGATCTCCACCCAACTTTACCTTGAACATGACAGTGATAGTTTCATACACTGACATGGCGACTTTGGACTTCTCAACAACACCAACAACTGTTGATTTGTATAAAAACTTTTATACCAGGGCTGGTCAACGTCGGTCCTGGACAGCCACAGTTTTGTGGAGTTTTGCCTTGGTTAAAACTTGCCTATAGCTTTCTAGTAACTCTTAGAACTTGTTTAGCTTATTCAGGTGTGATTGATTAGGGTTGGAGCTGAACTCTGCAGGACTGTGGATCTCCAGAACCGACGTTCGCCATTCGTACTATATATTGTAAATAAGGTCTTTGAATATCTTTGCAAAATTACTTAAAATCAAAACCATTGTGTAAAATTAAAACTGCTTTGGGAAGAAAACTGTACTTGATGTAACTCAATAAATTTGCTTTTTTTCACATTAATTTCAGCTGTGCATCTTATTTTTCTTTCCAAATAATTAATTTCTCTAATATTATTTAAAAACGTTTTCCTTTACCTTCTCATCCATATAGCACACTCTCAAATTATAGTGCAAGTACAACTTACAGAAACTTTTAGCAAATTAATTATTATTACCGTACCAGAAGAGTTTTCAAGAGTCCATTGTCCCACCTCAGATTGTCCTTGTATCTGTGTGCAGGCTTTTTATCCATACAAGACCAGATCCATATACAGGACCTCTATTGTTTTCAATTAATCTCTGTATGATATGGACTTATCTGAACAAGGTGAAGGCTTTGAGGCTGCAGAGCTGTTAAGGAGGAAAAAAAACAGTTAAAGGGGTGGTTGATTGCGATTTCACTTTTTTAATGTTAGTGTGTAATGTTGCTGTTTGATCATAAACAATATCTGCAAAGTTACGAAGCTGAAAGTTCAATGCAAACGGAGATATCGTCTTTTAAAATTCTGGCAGTTTAATGCCTACAAAAATGACTGGTAAGGGACTACAACGAGTTACTTCCTGGGTCCGTTACGTCAAGAACCCAGAATTTTACATAAACCCCGCCTCCGGGAACACGCAGCAAAGGGGGCGAGGCCATGCTGCGCTGCTTTAGAGAAGAGGAAGAGAAAACTACAGACATGTTAGACTGCCCCCAAAAAACACAATCAAGCCTATAAAAAAAACAGTCAACCACCCCTTTAAAGCAACAGGCAATGAAAGATGAGTATTGAATCAAAGAGAAAAACAGCTGACAGACAGACATCAAAGAGTGGACAATCTCTAAATCTCATTCTTTTACTCAGTCTCAGAATCTCTATTAAAATTCCTGTAGTGTCACAGAGGTTAGAATGGGGTTTAGGGTTCTGAATAGACTCAACACAGGTGAAGACCAGATGGACCTTGGGCCCCTGGATGTGTTTTATCTTTGCTAGTCTGGGTTGAAAGGAGCTTAACTCTGTAACAGACTCTAGAATTTCATCAACTTTTACTTACAATTTACTGCAATGCTTGGTCTTATCACCATGGCAATGCAAACATTCAACACAACTGACCATGTATTTTAGGGCTGTTTCTGGCTCTGGGAAGTGGTTTTTATACAAAAAGCACCTGTTTGATGAGCACTGTATTGCAAGTCCTTTGTAGTTTTTCTCCTCAGTTTTATCTGCAAACTTACTCTTGATAGTTTTGCATCCATTTAACCATATAATTTTAATGCAGCTTAATGTGTAATGTTGTTTCCTTTAAACAGCTAACAGAAAACAAGACAAAGGTTGTTAATAGATTAACTTTGATCAAGTCTTACAATGCAACACCTGATACTAAAATATTGTTGTTCGTTCTAGCTAGTTTTATTTTGAGATTTTGAACACTAATTTCCTCTAAGTGCATAGTGTCATAAAACCCAAAAGTTGCATCTGTGACTGAAAACAGCAAGCAAATCACGAGATTAAAGAGAGAGCACAGGTCACAATGTTTTTCTTTGACGCTGGGTCAAGGCCAGCAAGCCTGACCCTGTGTTTGCATTCACCTCCACCAGCTGTATAGCTGGATCATCTCACACACCCTGATGCCTTACAATGGAGCTAGTCAACAGGTTCAACATAGAGGTCATGACCACACACTCTCAAACCTTTCTTTCTCAGTTTGGCCTCTAACCTTGACCTTCCAATGCTTTTAGTTGTCTAAATGAGTTGCATTGAGCTTACCCTTCATTTTAGATGTAGATTAAAGCCTGATTTATTAAAACGTTTAACACAAGTAAAGCTGTTAAATTATTCAGATATGTTATAGTCTACAGTCGCCCCCAAAAAAGTATTTAGAAACTTAAACCACTGGTAATAAGGTCCAAAAGTGTTCAAATATTTTAATGTGACAAACCCTAATACACTGCTTACTTCTGTTGCGTATTGTAGTATCTAGCATATTAGTTGTTTTGTTTTTTAAATAGTTTTCTATCTTGGGAAAGTTTAATAAATCATGCCATGATAACTTAATACCACACGGGGAAGTCGTGGCCTAATGGTTAGAGAGTCGGACTCGTAACCCAAAGGTTGCGGGTTCGAGTCTCGTACCGGCAGGGATTGTGGGTGGGGGGAGTGAATGTACAGCGCTCTCTCCCACCTTCAACACCACGACTGAGGTGCCCTTGAGCAAGGCACCGAACCCCAACTGCTCCCCGGGCGCCGAAGCAAAAATGGCTGCCCACTGCTCCGGGTGTGTGTTCATGGTGTGTGTGTGTTCACTGCTGTGTGTGTGCACTTTGGATGGGTTAAAATGCAGAGCACTAATTCCAAGTATGGGTCGCCATACTTGGCCACATGTCACATGTCACTTCATAATAATACTCTCTGATCTAGTTCTACTATGCCATGCCATTCTGTTGTGTGGTTGACCTTTAAAATGCTTGTTTAATCATGTAAAATCTTATGAGGCAGTTCTATTCAAGCAACACAAAAGCATGATGAACAGCTTTGAAATCTTGTTTCAGAGTATGTTCACATGTATGGTACTTACACCAATTATTTTTAATTACTTGAGAATGTATATAAAAAGGTAATGTAAACGCCTTAAAGGGGTCATAGGATGCTACATGCACTTTTAGAAGTTGTTTGAACTGAAATGTGTGTTGGCAGTGTGTACACAACCACCCTATAATGATAAAAATCCACCCGGTGTTTTTTTTTTAAAATCTGGTTAAATGTTTTCCCCTTTCTCAAATCGAGCCGATCTCAGATGCCTGTCTGTGTGACGTCACACAGACAGGCCCCTCCCACGATAGTTTGATTGACAGTAGCGTTTCAGCACAGACTGGACTGGTGTCTTACCTTAGACCCGCCCTGAGTGAGCTGTCATCAGTCCGCCATTGTTTCAACACTGGAGCAGGAGTAGACAAGAATGACTCCTAAGCGATTGAGGTGTTCTGTTGTTGGATGTAATAATGAACACAGCAGTCGTCATTTACTCCCGACATCTGAGCCACTGAACTCGCAGTGGATTTCGTTTGTTTCTGAAGGGAATGCTCCCCTGATCTACATAAATGCGTCTATGTTCGCATGAATCATTTATGATCCAGCCTCATCTACAGAAGAAGTGAGTATAATGTTTTGTAATGAATCTTTGCAAATCGCCTTTCCTAATAATGTGCTAATTAGAAAGTTTCACGATGAATGCGGCTAAAGTAAACCGTCTCTCTGAGAGCAGCTCGGAAGAGAGGGGCGGGGTCAGCAGAGCTCATTAACATTTAAAAGGAAATGCTACAAAAACAGCTTGATCAGAAAAGAGCTGTTTTTGACAGGGTAAAAAAAAGGTGTTTTTACACTACCATTGAGAAATTTTAACCAAACTATGTTACAGACTTTTCATTAAGACCCTAAAGAATCATATCAACTTGTGGAAAATGGGCATCATATGACCCCTTTAAACATTGTTCTTTTATCAGATAAACATCATAAAAGATCTACGCAAAACCTATTGGCACACAGATGAGTTACAAAAAAAAACTCAGCTTGCATATCTGCTTCTGACTTTAAAAGTAGTAGTATTGGGGCTTTAATATAGCAAATAATGTCAATAAAACCCCAACATGTGACCACTCTACTGTTAATGTGTAAAACCAGGGGATTTCAAGCTCTTCTATAGTGCAGAATGATGAGGGAGAAAGGGAGAAGAAAAGGGTAGTGAGAGGATCAATACACATCAAGAAGACACTTGGTTCTCAAAACAAACCTAAAGAAAGTTAGACATACAGGACAAAAGATGAAGAAACAGACAGACGGCTGGAATAGCTGTGATTTCTGGTTATCCACAGGAGGGATATTACTCTGAAGGGTTACTGCTGTTATTAGGGATCTCATTATGGCTCAAGTCTTCCATGCACAGTCAACACCCGCTGGGACTCCAGCCTCTACTGACCTGGACAGCCTTTGAAAGATTAATCCACATGGATGATTTGGTTTGAACATGCAAAATGATTCCTTAGAGGTTATTTTGATACTAATGTTTAGATAAACTAATGCATTTGACCAAACAAGACTTGTAGATTCAGATATGTACAACTCTTAAACAATGGTTTACATTGCCAAAAAATCAGGATTTTAGGTTTAAAAGAAATAAAATCTAACAAAATACAAAAATGGCTATATATATATATATATATATATATATATATATAAAATTAAACGACATGTTGCACAAATCTGTTTCCTATAAAACTGTAGCAGTAGACTTTTTAGCATGACTCTTTGCTGATACTACTGTGTTGTGTTTAGTTTAAAAGTGTGCTGCTAACTGCTCTGTGTCAATGTCACATCTCTAATACAATGTTAACGTGACAGACAAGTGAAACAGGGTTTTTAATGGGGTTGAGAGATAGAGAGAGAAACCACAAAGGAACAGTGGCCATCCAACAGACGGGTGATAATTAAATTCAGGATGGCGGGAGGGAGAAAAGCAGAGAGGAGAGGGGGGATGTAAGGGTATCTGCTTTCATTTAG